CCCCCCCCACCACCTCTAATGCACCTTCGGCCTTTTCCCTGAGGCGGGGGTTTTGCAAAGGGGGGGGGCACTGCTTCATTCTTGAATCCCAGGGGCCCAGCAAAAAGGGAGGAGGGGGCGGCCAGCCTTGCTGAGATCTCCCCCTTCTGCGCAGGATGCACCCCAAAAGCAGCACCTGGAGCTGAAGAGCCGTCTGGGCAAGATCCAGAGCCTGGTGCAGAAGATCAAGGGCGGAACTGCCCACCTGGAATCTGATGGCGACTTAAAGGGCCGATTGGAACGGGCCCGGCTGCTGGAATCCCAGATCCGCCAGAGGAAACTCTCCCCACAAGAGGGGAGGAAGGACCTGGCACCCACAGCAGAGACCAGGTGGGAAGATGGCTCTGCCCATCCTGAAGCAGAGGGGGGGGGGGGGGCAGGTCACTGGCACGACTGGCTCCCCTGAGAGCCGGTCTGGTTCAGCCGTTTGAAGCCTCTCCTCCCCCCCCCTCCTGGCTTAGTGAGAAGGTGCCGGCCTATCAGCGCTTCCACACCCTCGCCCAAGATGTGCCCCCCGGTCTGCTCCTGCCGTACAAATACAAGGTGCTGGCCGAGATGTTCCGCAGCACAGACACCATCGTGGCGATGATGTTCAACCGCTTGGAAGCGGTCACCTTTGCCAAGGTCAAGCAGGGCGTGCAGGAGATGACACGCAAGTGAGTTTATTTTTCAGGTGCTGGATTGGAGACTTCTGGGCACCCCTTTAGACCAAGGGCCTCCAACCTTGGCACCTTGAAGACTGGTGGACTTCAATCCCCAGAATTCCTCCTCCAGTCATGTTAGCTCAGGAATTCTGGGGGTTGAAGTCCACCAGTCTTCAAGTGGTGAAGGTTGGACACCCGTTTAGACCCAAGACTGGAGCTTTCCATGGGGCTTCGGTGAGGACGCTGCTTCCCATCCACGCAGGGCTCGCTCTGGGCCTGGTCACCACTTTCTGGAAAGCGAATGTTGCCCACTAATCCGCTTCCTGCCCTGTAGGCGCTTTGAAGAACGGCACTTGGGGCAGATGAAGACGGTGTACCCAGGTTCTTACGTCCTGCGCCAAGAGAGAAACATCCCTACCTTTGGTGGACCGGGGAAGCAGGGCGCCTACCAGCTGACTATCGAGCCAGAGCTGGGAACAGGTGGGTCTGGGCAGGCGGCCCCCTGCTTTCACAAGCCCTTTGTGTGAGCTCAGCCTTGGTGTTTGTCTGGGCTCTTTCCCCCAGCAAGAAAGCTTTTTTTGCTGTTTCCCGTCAAGAAACGAGGACCTGCTGATGCCCGTCTGGATGCCGTGGGGGGGGGGTTGCGGTGGGGGGCTGAGGTGGGAGGGGGAGCCTGAGCACCGATTCCTCCTCTCTCCCCCAGGGGAGAAACTGACCGCATCCCGGCTGATGGAACGTCGGAGCATCTTCTGCAAGAACTTGACGGCCAGGGTCAAGGAGCACCACAAGGCAAGCACTCCTGTGGGGGGGGCAGTTTGGCACCCTCCCCCCTCCCCCACTGGCAGGGCAGGAAGGGGGCATGTCCCATTTCTTGAGACGTGTGCTTGGCCTCCCCCTAGGCGTTCCTGGCTTCTCTGGACCCTCCGATGGCGATAGCAGAGGATGAGCTAACCCGCTGGCACCCTCGCTTCCCGGTAGACCAAGTGCCCGAGATCGTGCCCGCTGAGCTGCCCCAGCCTCCCCACGTGGACAGGGTCACCACCGCGCAGGAGGTGCTGGCCAAGGCCCAAGGCATGCTGACACCCAAGGTACAGCCTGGGCGGGTTGCTCTGCACACCACAAGCCTTTGCAGAGGGTTTTTAGCCAGAGCGCCTGCCTTTTCGCCTCCCCAAACAGATGGAAAAGGCCTTGACCAACCTGGTCCTACGGACGGCAGGCAACGGCAGCCCCTCCAGCCCGCAGCCTCCTCGCCCAGCTCTGCCCGGAACCCCCAACAGCCTGAGAGGCGTCTCGCAGTCCTTGGTGGAAAGGGTGAGTTCACCACCCCTCAAACGGTGGCTGCTGCCATCTTCCCTGGGCGGACCTCTGAGAACCAGCCTGCAATAATACCTTCCACTAAGCTTGGGGGATTCTGGGAGTTGAAGTCCAGACGCCTTGCCAGAGTTGGGGAAACCTGCTGTAGGAAAGTCAAAGCTGGGCACCCTCCAGCAGGCTAGCCTGGCGCCAGATGCCCACGGTTGGAATTCCAGCCAGGGTGCCAAAGACCGCCCCTCACCCACCACCTCTTCCCCCCAGGTCAGGGCCAAGGAGGCTCAGAAGCTGCAGGCGCTGATGACACGGAACCCCCAGCAGGAGCAGCGCCTGGCCATGCTGGGCCGCCTGCCGAAGATGGCGCGTATCCTGCGCAACGTCTTTGTGGCCGAAAAGAAGCAGGCCCTCCCCATGGAGCTGGCGTGCCAGCGGATGACGGACAGCTACCAGGCGCTCATGCCCACAGGTGAGGCGGGCGGGCGGGCGGCTCTGGGGCAGGGAAGGGGCTGCCCACGGCCCTTTGGCAACTAGGCCTAGTTACTCAGCAACCGCAAAGCCCAACCGCCTTTGGCAGCCCAGATGACTTGGCAACCCCAACAGGAAAACCACTTCAGGACAGCCTGGACCGAGAGTTCTCCTGCCAAGCAACAAGTCCTCCCCAAGGTCTTAAAGAGCTCTGGGTTTCAACTCCCAGAATTCCCCAGGCAGGCAGCCATCTAAGTCCTCAAATCCACAGGTTTTCATCGTCTGCCGGTCATTCCCCAGTCTTAGAATTTGCCAGCACTGGACATCCCTGTCCTAAGCCATGTAAGGTTTGAGCCGATCGGTCCATCTAAATGTAGCACTGCGTTAGATTTAGTTAGTGCAGCATGATTTTCAGTCGGTTTCAAAAGATTCACCTGGAAACAACAGGCCAGAAATTTAATCTGCAGAAGAATTGCTGTCCTGCTGAACGGAGATTCCGGTCCTTCCCCTGGGAAGGGGGCCTGGAGCCCCTCACCCTCCAGCAACGGCTTCCCTGTGTTTGGGAAGACCCCTGGCCCTCAAACAGGGCAGGCTTCTTATGTCCCCCTTTCCCCCCTGCAGGAGAGATGGAAAAACACCTCCACCTCTTCGCAGAGCTCCTGCCGGACTGGGTGCGCATCCTGGCCATTCGCCAAGAGAATTACCTGAAGCTGGACAAAGCCATGGACCTCAATATCGTAACCGAGCGGCTAACTGCGAGAAAGCGGGAAGAGGAGAAGCTCTGATTTTTTTTTGGGGGGGGGGGGGGAGACGCCCAGAAAATGGACTTCCTGGGGGGGAAGCCGACGCCTGCCGTGTCTTCTACATAAAAAGAGGGGAGTGGGTCTTCTGTCCGATGGAAAACCCACAAGCTTTTGGGCAGCGCCATGACGGAGGGTGGGCATTATTACGCGATTCAACAAACCTCTTTTTTAAAGGCACAAAACATTTTTTGTCTCTTGGGCAGTTTGGAAAAGGTGTGGCTGCTTTTCCAGGAAGGGGGGGGGGG